TTTGCTGCTTGATTGTGTGCCTGGTGGTAACCTTTGCTTATCTGGGTGATGATTGCTGGTGATTGATTGCCTCACCAGCAATCAATCACCAGCAATCTTCTGGACTTCAGTGCTAAAATGGGATGGGGTTTGCTCTCGATGTGCTCTCTATTTATGAGAATTCTTGGAAGCCTGGTATTCAGACAAGGCAGCAATTAATAGACACATAAAGAGTACCTACATACTATTCAAGAGACAAAAGACCAGAAGATCGCCTCACCAGCAATCATCACCCAGATAAGCCAGGCACACAATCAAGCAGCAAACATATGCCAATCAAAGAACTACCAGAGGAGCAAAACAAAACCCCCACCTCCACCAGCACTGGCAAGGCAGGACACAGCACATAAACATAGATCAAACCCCATCCCATTTTAGCACTGAATGCTTTGTAGTTTGAACCATCTTATTTCTTTCTCACAGAGGAGCAAAACAAAACCCCCACCTCCACCAGCACTGGCAAGGCAGGCCACAGCACATAAACAGATAGCAAACCCCGTCCCATTTTAGCGCTGAGACGTTACCTAGCCAGGTAATGAAACGTTTGCAAGAAAAGAACCAAGCTCAGAGAACCCCAAGGACTCCACAGTTCAACCCTGAGCTACACATATTCGTCTCTATTGGAACCCAAGTGTGCCAATGTGGATTGCAGTAACTATAGGACACAAGTGTTTTAATCTATAGGGGCAAGGCATCATGGTACAGCTCACTGAAAAGCTATGGATAATTTATCCTTTTAAAATATCTGATATTATATTTCTATTCTTTCAGTTGTTATTGCTTTACTCAGGAAACCTAATTTTAGGATCTTATAAATGTCCATTTTTAAAAATGCATTCTATACTGTTTTGTTTTTCTGATAGATTTCACTGATCATTGACCACAATAAAGTTGTTTTATTTATATATGCATGCACATTCATTTGGTAGTTTAGTAATTTAGTATGCTATTTGCTAAGTAATTTATAATTCAGTCCATTAATTTTAAGTATTAGCATTTTTTAGTATTCTACTCCTTCTACTCCTGTATTTCTAGTGCTTTGTAGTTTGAACCATCTTATTTCTTTCTCATACACTTCCAGAAAATAACTATATATCTAAATTTGACTGTGACCCTTTTACAAAAAACTATAAAATGGTATAAATGCTGTTAGTGACTGTAATAATAAAGATACAATACA